GGTAAATACCAAAAAATCGTTTCATGTTTTAAATTATTACTTTCTGTGACATTTCAAATACATTAACTTACTGCCCAAAGCAATATTATGACTTAAATATTACATTTTAGAGATGAGGAAACTGAGATAATGAGAGATTGATTTAATGTGCTTAAATGCAGGGCTGGAATTAGAGCCCAGTTCTGTGAGTCTTTTTCCCTCACTACTACACCTTTTAGAAGAGACAAAAATCACAAGATGAGGAAGGCCTTCTACAGGAAGGAAAAAGTATAAATAAAATTTTGAAGTCAGGAAACTACAAGATACATTCTGCGGGCAATGAAAGTTCATAAAAGAAGGAATAGAGAGAATGATTGAAGAAATGGGTTGAATAAATATGCTGAGGAATCTTAAATAGGAAGCTAAAACATTTGGAATTTTTGTTGTATGCAAGAGGTAGGTTAGAGTTCAGAGCAGTAGAATGGTATGAAAAAATATTGGGAAGGACTATATAAGTGACATTCAACAGAAAATGAAAAGAGGGAGAAGTAGCAAGAAGTTCCATTCATGTTGATATCTAAATACAAATTGGAATGACCTAAAATGAAAGATTGGCAGCTAAAGTGAAGAAAAGAAAGAAAGAGAAGAAGGAAAGAAGGAAGGAAGAAAGGAAAGGAAAGGAAAAGAAAGGAAAGAAAAGAAAAAAAAGAAAAGAAAAAAGAAAACAAAAGAAAAGAAAGAAAAAGAGAGAGAGAGGCAAGGAGGGAGGCAGGAGGAATCTTGAGAGGGTGGGAAGGAGTAGGGAGGGAGGGAAGGAAGGAAGATGTGGCATGAAAGAAAAAATAAATAAAATAAACCAAGTACAAGAATGGTTGCATGATGTTAAATGGGACAGTACATGACAGCTAAAATATTTTAAAAGATTGTATTTACCTGGTTTGAAGCATCATAAGTAAAATTATTGTGAGCATTCATTGGTTGATTGTTTTCTGCCACTTGAACTTCTGTAACAGTGTCTGTCAACCCAAGAACTTTTATTGTCTCAAATGCTAAGGTAGTTCCTTCCTGGTATGATGAATGTGTGCATGTAATACTTAAAGCGTTCTGGGAAAAAAAGTATGTAATATTTATTATACACTAAGTCATCAGATACAAACCTTAAATAACAATATAGGTGTGAAATAAGAGAAAAAAACAATCATCTACCTCTCTATTCCTACCAACTCTCCCCATCCAAGTAGCATATATAAATATATACATGAATAACTCTTCATTTTTTTGTATATGTGCCATAAAACTTTATTTTCAGAGATAATCTAAATCACTCATGATGCAACACATATATAATCCTTCTTATTCTAGCTGTAAGATTGATTTAAAACAACTTAGCTTTGGCAAAAAAGAATGTATAAAGAAATCCAACATCTATGAAAATCATTCCTATTAATTGTTCAGTTTAACTTTGCATATAGGTTTTTCGTCCTTACCCCAAATCTACACCAGTTATTACTGTGACTGATACATTAAAACATTTTCAAA